ACGTAGAAATAAGTGCGTGGTTCAGGTCTGCTCCACCAGGCGCCGCCACGATCCTCGCTGCTCAAAAGAAAATCGGCTCTTCTTTATAACAACTCGTTCATTGAACTTTTATCAATTATCTTGGGGGCTGACTGGCTCTTATCGCGAGTAAACTTATGCTCCCATATTATGTATGTTCAGTGTAGCTCTTAACTAAAAGCAGAACATTTGATTTTGTAGCAATTTCATTTGTTCAAGATAATTTTCTGAACGTTCGGAAAACCAGAAGTGATTGACCGGAAGTGCTTTGAAGTGAAACAAGAGTGCTAGTTTGTGCTCGTGACACTAAAACTGAATTCCAACTGAATAGGCTGTGTTAAGCCTGATGAAGCTAACTGACTGTCTTTGAAAGTTAGAAAATGGGTGGCAGCGTTGGAACGCTGTCGAGGAAAATAAACTTTGAATAAAGATGTGACACGCAAATGTAAAATTTTCGGCTATGTAATTGTAATTACAAGGGCCTTTGTCAGGCTGTTCGCCTTTAGCTCTTTGCCCCTGCAGTGAGCTCTGTATCCGGCTTACTGTAAATAAAAATACTACTACTACTACTACTACTAATCAGCTAACGCCATACGGATGGTAATAAAAGCGCTAAAAAAAGCTCCGTCCTGCTGTGTATATTCAAAAAACATGATAAAGAAGTTGACGACGCTGATGATGATGAGTGCATTCAGCTTTAGCCCTGTTTCCAAAGTCGTCTCAGGTAAAGAAGACGGCAAATGGGGGAAAAAGAATTCGCTCTTACCACTAAAAGTGGCCCTGAGACTGTCACGTCTTTCACCTTTCTATTTTTTTTTCTTTTTTTTTCTAGCCGTAACAGTCGGGCAAGAGGCAATAAAACAATGAGTTGCTAGAGCTAGACATTTCGAAATGTACGATGACTTATTGAGCCTCTCCTGTCTTCTGCGATCCGCGAACAATATTATCTCGTTAGCTGCCAGAATTTCTCCCTCGATCTTTTCTTGTTCTTCTTCGTTTTTTTTTTCCATTACGTGCACTTTAAAAACCTCACCAACCTTATTCGAATCTCGAGCTTACTTTCTAGCTCTCGCGAAGCGTTGTATATTGTTTCCGACAGACTCAGGTCCCGGAATGCGCTAGATAACCACCTTTGTCGGCTCTTTTACCGAGTACTTTCCCGGTTTATACTATGAAGCTAGTCTGCGTATAATTAGCTATAGCTGCTCAAGGGCGCCTTCAATAATATCCTGACACCCATTATCATCACGCGCGCCTACAAAAATAATAAATGACAATCTTCATGCCGTGCTTTCTCCTGTTTTTCACTGGGCTTGAGTATCGCGGTCTGCTCTTTCGCAATTTAATATCCTGGTGAATTCTATTCCCTCTATATAACGCCAGTCCCTTACCCAGTGTTTTGACTCTGTTGTTTTAGATATTCCTTTTGTATTTTTTTTTGCAAACGCAGTATAGCTGACTTAGAGTGCCTGTCTCGTAGTGCGTGTTTTCTTTTTTTTTTCTTTTTTTTCTTTCCGTTGCCAGCAGCCCGCTCCGCAAATGAGCTTTCTAATCTGTACTATTTTTTTTTCTCTCGTGTTTAGTGAGGTCAGCAATGGCTGGCTTCGAAACTATAGTAAGCGATATTGCGAACTCGATTCTTTTCTGTCGATTGTTTTTGCGATCCTCTTTTCGTTTCGTCACCATGCTGACTACAATGGGTGTAATAGAACGGGGTTAGGAAATCAGCATTTGCCCAGTCATCACGCTTGAGTTATGATTTCGGGGTTATTTCGCTTTCCTACTCGCTGAGACGCGAGACTTTATTGTATATATCCATGCTGGTGATCAAGGCAGCTTATGAAGGTTTTTTTTTTAGGTTGTCTCCCGGTCGACTTTCGAAAAGAATGAATAATACAGTACATTGTAACCTAACTTGGCACTGCATGCCGTGAATTCCGGCGCTCTGCGAGAGCCGCATTTGACGCGTTTATATCCCGTTCACCGTAGGATTTACGGTGGTTGTTCAACGAGAAACTTGACGTACTTTACCTGCCTCAGTTTTGTTCTCTTTTGTTAAAAAGACTCGATTACTTTAGCACTAGCACTTCAGCACGGGAGTGTCCTCATCTGTATTTGTTGCTTCGGAAAACAAGTATTTGAGCCAATCATCTGGTTATCACTGTGATGCACTTGTCCGACACCTCTTGATGCGCATAAGTTATTTATTTGGTGTACGCTTTCTACCTGGCTCCCTTTGTTGTAAACAGGAGAGGAAGAAGTGGTGAAATTTTGTGTTGCATATATTACGCGTGGGAAATAATCGTGCGCTTTGATGATATTTCAGCCCCCATGCGCCCCGCCCCTTGCTTCGGATCTGACTTGCCCTGTGACCTTCGATGCTTTATTTTTGTTTTTAAATGCGAAGTTTGCGTACTGCAGACACTTTGATTCTATCTATCTATCTATCTATCTATCTATCTATCTATCTATCTATCTATCTATCTATTTATCTATGTGTAAGTGCTCTCGTGATAACCACTTCAGCTTGGGGTACATAAAAAATAATATGTGAGCGTAAGATGGCTTGACGATGACGACTCCCTGATGATGGCATGAATAATGTCACAATCACGTCGCGTACGTCGTCAATTCAATTTCCGCCTGACAGTGGCACAAACCCGCGGGTGGGTTTGTGCCACTGGTATGCGGGTATGTGCCTCAGCTTATTCACACGTTAATCTACCCATGCAGGAAGGGCGAGAACACACACGTGTAATTTTAACGCGTGAGCGCTAAGAAATAGCTCACTTTGGCAGCGTTAATCCGGTTAATGTAAAGAATAAACATAAATGTCAAATTCCCTGCAGGAATTGAGCCCTAGAATTTCGCTTGGCAATCCAGTATTCTACCACAGAGCCATGCCAGGTCTCGGAACTATTTTTCAAATAGACCGTAATGTTCGGAAAACGTCAATTCTGGTTGCAGTGTTGGCTATCCAATTTTATAAACATGCATTACATATGTTCTTTTATGACACATCCTTCGCGACGGATTAACGTCACTTGTAGTTAGGTGCCTGTCCGCTGAAGTTGGTTTACGTAGCAGTGTCCAGGCCTACCATTCTCGCGAGCACTGCAGCGCTTCGTATCAGCTGACCGCTTCTGGTCCTTCTTATATCCATCTCGCTGGTGGCATCGTTACGCAGCTGTAAGTACAGCTGGCTACATAAAACACATGCGGCTGTTTAACGTATGTCTGTGCGTGCACTTGTACACATCTGTAGCGCCGCTTCGTGACGTTTCGCTCTATAAAAAAATTACAACACAGTCACCTTCCATACGCATATTTCGCATAACATCGATGTCCACGTTGGAGCTGCCGATTTTCTTTTTTGTTGTTTCTGGGTCAATTTTTCAATCGTTTTCAAGGTTTCTGATAACTACTCCTTCTTACCAGACTTAAATGTTTCACGGTCTGTCCTAGTATACACGACACAAGGTTACGACGTGTCACTTTTTTTTTTCAATACAGCATGTGTATTTCTCGAGTACACCATGCATGCAACGTGTACATTCACATGTACAGCTATCAATTTTTACGAAAGGGAACACGCGAGCGCGTCGGCCTGCGCTCTGTCGGCGGCTGCCTACAGCGCCATCAGCCGGTAGATAAAAGAAAGCGCGCCCTCTTTTCGCGACATCACCCGCTAGCGAGAGTACAACTTTAGCAGCGCTTGTCCAACGTTCATGGCTTGTTTCGTCCGCTAACGGATCACGTGAAAATTGGACGCGCTTCACTTATCTGTCAGTTAACGGCGCTGTATAGGCAGCCGTGGTATTGCGCAGGGTTCGTTTACACTGTACGTACATGACACACTGTACATGTACAGTGCGCAGCGTACAGTTTTACACTGTACGTACATGACATGCAGTGTCCTGGCATGTATGTTGCTTTTGCCGTCTTGCAGCCACAGTGAAGCAGGAGATGTGTGATTTCCCTTCTTTTTTTTTTTTCGCCCCATTACAGCTACCTACTGTGTAACTCTGTCTATTAAATAAACAAACTCAAACTTGAGACGACAGGAAAAAGAAAAGAAGGAAAGACGCTTGAATTTTGAGCGGTGTAGTGATGTGACGTCACGGTATGTGGGCCACTTTTCATCGATAGTGACGATTCACTACAGAACACTCTGGAGATATCGCGCCATAGTAAATTTTGTCGGTGGTTGGGAAAAATGTTTGTGATTTTAACTTAAGTGTGGGTATAATATTCCCGAGCATTTTTGTTTTCATTATTTCCTAGTATTTGTTTCAACTAACGAATTCGGTATTTTGAAGTAGCCGGCTGTGGTGAGTTAACTGCTTGGGTAATTTTACATTTTCAGTGTAAAAATGAATGCTCAAAGCTTGCCCACCAACAAATTGAACAACAAGCTTTGCATGCTTTAGGCGAAGTTGTGTATTGTAATCATTCTGAATGGCCCGACGCATGGGCATCGTTATATTGCGGTTGTAATTAATTAAATACATTACATCGTTGTACTAATCAATGTTCGTCATTGGCTGCCGCGCACGCAGCTGTTTTCCCTGTTTACCTCAGGCAAGGTGGTCTCCAAAAAAACAACGTGTCTGGTTTCTTTTTGCTGTCGCCTTATCTGACTAGTAGTATTTTATTATTTTCTTCATTGACGTACCCTAAAGGTTACTGTTGAGGGTTTTGGCACAGAAACATGGCAGTGAAACAAGACGGTAAAAAAATACCTTATTAAGACAGAAATTAATATGCGCGCTCATTCATAATCTATTGCCGGCAGCCCTCTACTTTCGACGCGGCCGAACTCCTTTGCGTGCTAATGTGGTCCTCGCGCGCTAATGTGGTGTAGCTCGAACGCAAACCGACTATGCTGCTGCGTATACTTCATTCTTGCTTGCCCGTCAACAGGCGGCTCTAACCCGACTCTTGCCGTTCCCTTTTTTTTTCGTTCCCCGTCTCGTTTTCAGATGCGGATGAGTGCCGTCCCGCGCTTCCCGAGAGCCTGGAGACGATCCCCAAGGCGGATTATCTCCCGACGCAGCGACATCGCTGGAATACAAATGAGGTACGCCCGCTACGGCCTTTTTCCTTTCCTTTTCTTTCCGTGCAGCCCGGAAACTGGCGTGCGTCGTCGCCTATATAGGCGTTCCCTGCCTCCTACGCGCGATTCCCCATTTTCGGTGCTTATATATAGACCGGCCTCGTTTCTCCCAGCGTCTTCTTGTTGTTGTTTTACCCTCACCTATATGTTTGCCTCATCGGCAATCAGTCGTCTTTGGTTGGCTGTCGCGACGCTAGACTACTGGCGGCGTTACGCTGCCGTCGCACCGGCGGCTGCCTCTAGCTGAGCGTATACATCCTGGACCCTGTACGTTCGTCGGCGCTGGCCCGGACAGCCGTATGACGAGCACGGCTCCAATTCGGTCTCGCGCGTGGCATGTGTCTCTGCGACGCAGTTATTGATGCTCCTTGTCCTTGGTTCGCTGCTAATATATATATATATGTGTGTGTGTGTGTGTGTGTGTGTTTATCTATTATCTCCCTCTCTTTTTTTGCCACTTGGCCTACATCTGGCAGGAACGGTGGATCCCGTAATGAGACTACAGGGCTTCCTCTATCCCCAACTCGTGATTCTCTCTCTCTCTCTCTCTCTCTCTCTCTCTCTCGTTTTGGTGATCTTCGGCAAAACATGATCGTAAAAAAAAACATAACAATGGACCCGACTGGACCTATTTATGGAGCACAGCAACGTGCACCTACGGCTTCTTCCCCGTGCCTTAAACGTCGGGAAATATCCAACGCACTGTGGTAAAGCGCGCGGCGATTGTAAGGGAAGGATCGAACAAAAGGCGGGATTGATGAGCGCGTTGAGAGTCTTCGCGGTAGTTATTTATCAACGAGGCCCGCATTGATGCCACGGATGTGTATAGAAACAAAGGCGAAAAAAATCTCCGAAGTGCGTATGTGCGTGTGCGCGCGTGTGTGCGCGTGCGTGAATGGAAAGTTATGACTGTACACACTGCTCGAGCTTTTTTTTCCTTAAAGAACATTTGTTTCCGCATTCGCTTCTCGTATCCGGTAACTCCTTTCTTCCTCAGTCGTGCTGTATTGTCAACACGAGTACAGCTGTTCGGTGGCTTGACGTGCGTGAGAGTCCATTTATCAGCCATTGGGCAGTGGGTATAGCTAAGGAAACGAACAACTTGTTTTTTTTTTTCTTGTGTATATTGTGTTCGTACGTAACGTGTGAATGTCTATTTTCCACCGGCCTTCCTTCAACCATATTTCTCTCTTTGTGTGTTTGGTGGGAAAGAACATTGCTTCGTATTGAGTGTGTTGTTCATCAAAATCATGTCTTCTTCGCAGTAAAAGTCACGAGGCATGAGCGAAAACGTGGCGTGTCGGGATATCATAACTTAAAATAACAGTCACCGCCTCTTTGAAGCTACCACCACTGTTGTGATTATACGTAGTTATCGTCACGGCGTCATTGCCATCTTGTTGTACCATATCACCCGCCACGGGTGATGGTACGACAAAGCAGCCGAGTGGCTAAGGCACTCGGCAGCTGACACGCAGGTTGCGGGATCGAATCCCAGCCACATTTTTTATAGAGGCGTAGATGCTTGACACCAGTGGGCTTTAATTCAGTTGTACGTTGAGGAAACCCAGTCGTCGAAATTTCCGGAGCCCTTCACTACGGCATTTCTCATAATCATGTGGTGGTTTTGGGACGTGAAGCCCAAACAATTATTATTATATTATTATTCTTATTATTATATTATATATTTATTTATTATTATATTATATTAATTATTATTATTTATTATTATTATTATTATTATTATTATTATTGTCGTACCATCATCGTCGTCGTTTTCCTAACCTTTGTCGTCATTGCTATTGAATCAGTTGTAATCTGAACTTTCGGGAAAGTTGGAAACTTGAACGTCCTGCTAAATTTCGTGAGCCATTCTGACATGGCAACATGGTCGAACGTAGTCCATTATGTAGTAACGAAGTACTTTTAACACTCAATATGCGTAGTGTTTGCATTTGTCAAGAAAAAATACTGATGGTTTGAGTGAAAACCAGCTAGCACAACTGTCAATCACAGTTGAGGGGCAGATGCGTCGTAGTTCTATGGGCGGAGCTTGCTTTTCTTAGGCTGTAACCGCTTATAGAATGATAAATACAGAGACAAAAAAAGAGTGCTAGTAAGCTGCCGCAGTAAAAAGCTACAAATTCCAAGTCTCAGTTCTTACCAACAACCCACGTTAAAGACTGTATAGTACCGGGAATACCGGGAACAAGTTTATTTCTTTGCTGCAGTCCGCAATGATAGTGTCCATCTACTCATACATACTATCTCGTCTTGCGAAATTGCCGTATCCATGCTGCCTGGAAAGAGCGAGAAGAAAGAGAAGATAGGGACGTTAACTAGACGCCCGTCTCGTTACCTACCCATTTCTAGGGTAAAGGTTAACAGGCGACAAGGAAGACGGAAGAAAAGGTGGGACGCGCGCACTTTGGAAAGCACATCATACAGATGGTCGCACAGATCTGTTCACTTCAGGTATTTTAGCAGTGCTCTCATTTTCTTGGGAAAAGAAAAAAAAAGAAAAGAATAAGAATAGTAGAAAATTAGGAAGGGCAACCTCGGCTGGTCTGGTAGGCTTCTTTATACCGGAGAGGAAGGAGGGTGAAGGAAACTTATAGAGGAGGAGAGAAAGGTCGATGTTTGCGCTTGCATGGAAGAGTACGGTGAACTTACCTCCTGGGATATCACCGCAAAGATTTCTATCTGATGAACCTTCTTTGCGCGAAGCGACAAAACGTAGAGGACACGGTAATTTTGCGCAAACTAAGTTCATTACGTTTAACCAGCTAGCTCACTGTCTGCTTTTTCTTTATCCTTTTTTACTTTTTTTTCGAATCTCTTTTCTTCGCCGCTTCAGAGAAGAATCGCCATTCACGTTGACGAGCGCGCGGGTGCGTTAACGTCTTTGGGTCGACGAGGCTCGTCACCCGATGAAAACTACTCGACCCTGCCGTCGCACCGGCACGACGTTGAACACGTCCCGGGAGCCGCGCCTTTGTACGCAGGTCCGCTTCTTGAGCACGATCGCGGCTGGCCCACCGTCCTGTTCCATCTCCACGACGCGAATCGTAAGATCTTATTGAAGGGGGTTCCTTCCCATCACGGTTCTCTCTCTTCAGTGCACTCGTCGCAGCAATGGCCGAGAAGGGAATACCGAGTGACCACGGACGGCTGGTCTCGCTGCGAGAGTCACTTAGGCCCCACGTCAACAAGACGGCGAGAAGAGAGCTCTTGCCGTCGAAACGAAAAAGAGAAAAACCCGAGACGGTTCCTCGAGTCTGCGCTGCCTGCCGTCGTTGCTGTGTGCCTTTCAGTGCTTCGTAGGATCGCGAGACCCTTCCTCCGGTCGTGGGTGACTGGTCGCTGTCATGACTTGTACTCCTCCGATCGAGAGAACTCCGGCGCGTTGGCAGCCGTAACTCCGTCAAGTTGCCTTTCGGAGTCTGCTGCCCTTTGACGCGTCTCCGTTCCTGCATGCAGATTTATCTCGCTCGTATATATATAGAAGGACTCCGCGCTTGTGTGGGTCTCGAAAGGTAAGTTGTTTTTACTTTGCCCGTTTTATCCTCCTTTCTTCGAGGGGTCAGGTGAATTCTTCGGCCTCTCTGCAGAATAAACAGTCGGGATGGGGATGCTCTATGAAACGCTGAATAGAATATTCTGGTCTATTTCTTTCTCTCTCTCTCCCCTCTTTCTTTCTTTTTTTTTCCCCCTGCAGTCGTCCCACTTTTTTTTTGTTCTCCTTTCTATCGCGTCGATTTCGAGGCAGCCCATTTTAGCAATGTGTTACACTGCGCACGTTTGTCACCTCGTTTGTATTGGGTGGTGAGAATGGAGCATCTGATGAGCGGTCTGCTCCGAAAAAAAACCTCCTTCACTATCTCTCGTTGCGTGCTGTTCTTTAGTAGCCCGTCTTTCCGCTTACGCTTCTCGGGTTTTCTTCCTTTTCGTATCACGAATGCCGCTTTTTTTTTTTTGTCGTTAAACCCATCGTACAGCCCTACTGGCCGCGGAACTCGCAAATAGAGGCAAACGCTTAAGTGCTCGGAAAGCTTTGCGCATTCTGTATACATATTCCATGAACTAAGCAGTGGGACATTACGGCTTGAATTGGTACAGCCTACCTTCTCAGGCAAGTGGCCCTGCGTTATACAGGAGAGCACCGACTGATCGTTTTACTTTACTCAATGCCGCGATAACCGCGGAAACATCTTCAAATGTCGAGTGCCTAAGGCCACTCACTCCCTTGATGCCAGTGAACCGCAGTTTCTCATTCTCCGTCGGCCTGCTGGCAAAGCTAGTTTTAAATATTCACCGTTCATAAGAACATAAAAGTGGGCGAGTTTGTCCAGTCTTTGAGAGCGCTCATCTTGTCCATTCCTTCTCGCGTATGTTGTCTGGTTTGTGCTCTCAGGTATCTTTATGTTCACTGTTGACTCATTCCTAGTAATTGAGAGATGCATAAATGGAAGGAACAATTACCAGTTGTGAATGCCAGATGAACTCTGCCGCAATACCCTCACCACCACTACGTCCATACACCTCAGTAGACTAGAAAGTTGGGCTTGTTGGAATTCTTGCATGATTGCTGCTGCTCTAAAGACGAAGACGAAAAAACACAAAGACACTGGACGAACTCTCGTTCAGTGCACTCTGCTGTAAGTCTTCGTCTTTATCGCTACATTAGCCATGCATTCTAAGTTCGATAAAATCAAATCAAGACGTATTTTATTGAGGCGTAATCATGGAGAATGTACGGGAAGTTCTCGGACCAATAGCGTATGTGGCTAGGCGCATGTACAACATAAATAACCATGCTCCGCGGAGCCGTAGACCAGCTGCGCCATCTACGCGGAAGTCGCAAAACTGGGGAGAGGCGAGGCATGTAGGGAAAGGCATTTCATATAAACCGAGAGGGGGGGGGGGGGTGCAGTTGCTTTCAGTTAAAGCGCACGCTGCGAATC